AGAAATTATGAAATTACAGTCAGCAACTGATAAAGATGAAAGTAAATAAGATTTTGTCAGCTAGTGCAGATAAGATACCGTATAGCGGGTTATTTTCGAGGATAACAAATTTTGCAGATTTGTCAAGATTTGTGAAATTAAATTCCTTGAAAATTAATTTAATACGGTATATACAAGATGGCAGAATAGTGCAGATTCGCAAAAATGAATTCTGCGAACTTCCGGATATGGGTCATTCGTGAAATTTATTATTTCCAAAATAAACCTGTTATACGGTATACAAGGTTTGCTATCACAAAATGGAAAGTTAAAAGGCATTAAGTCAGAAACTAAATTATTCTACATGTACCATGTCCACAGGAAAATTGTCAGTAGCAGAAAAAATGATGGATCAACTACAAAAAGAATTAAAGCAAAAAGACCAAATTATGCAGCAAGAGCAAGGTCAGTCTAGCAAAAAGTTCATAACTTATTGAGTATTCAAAACAATGTAAAGCATCACTAGCTGAAAGTAAGAGAGAAATAGAATTATTACAAGAGAAGATAACAGCAATGAACTTACAACAAATTGAGAAAGATAAACAAGTGCAGGGTAAAATACAGTTTAATACAATTTTAAAATAAATAATAAATAGAAAAAGAAGAAACATTGATGCTGGAAATTGAGAATCTAACGAGAAGTAGGTTTTACTTGACTAATTTTATTTTTATAATTAATTTTTGTATTTTCACAAGGCAAAGATAATCTTGTAAGCTTAAGCTAACTATACTTTGTTGTTATAACCTATATAATAGATATTTGAAGATGATATTTATGGTGACATCATCATTGACAATCCATTGATTTTGAAAATTATAAAAACGCATCAATTTCAAAGACTAAAAAATATCAAAAAATTAGGTGAACTAGACTCTACTTCTACAAAAATTAAGATATTAAAATTCTACATGAATGTGAATGTAGGCTACATATTCCAAAATATACAAAAGTCAACTTATTCAAGACTTCAACATAGTATTGGGTAAGGTTTACTTTATGGCAGCTAGTATTTGTATCATATGTTGATAGAATGTATTATCTTGCTGGAAAATATGTTAAGCAACTTCAAAGGAAACAACCTGATCAGGATATTACTGAGTCTGATGTTTTGTGTGTACAAATTGCTGCTCTTTGTTATAACCTGGGTCATGGTCCTTTCTCTCACATTTTTGGTTTGTTCCTCAAGGAAGTATTCCCCAATGGAAATAAACCTTGGGAGGTAGATGGTGAAAGTTATTATTTTTATATATATTTTTAATAACAGAAAGTTTCAGAAGCATCTGTTATGATGTTTGACCACATGATTGAAGAGAATAATGAGGTGAAAAATTTATTGGAGGAATTTCTGGATAATTATGAAGAAGATATTGCATTTATTAAAGAACTTATACATGGAACCTTAGCCTATAAAGTATGCAAAATTTATCATGATTTACATGTATGGCATAACAGTAGCAATATTGATTATAGGAGTCTTCTAGTATCAGGAGCTTATGGGCGTATAATGCATGGTTGCATTTTTCTAATATTTAATTAGAGCTGAAACAGATGTGGTATTTCACTATCCAGATATCCTCGTTAAATTTCTTTCGGATATTTGCCGGATAGTTAATTAATAATAGTTTAATAAGTTAGTGACTGCAAACATCAGAAAAGCGAAGTTTCTATTCCCCAGGATACTATTCTTGTACATTTCTGGTAGTTAAGAAGCTCAAAAAAGATTAAGAAGTGGCTGAGAAGGTTGGTAGCTTCAAGAACTTACTCTTTTACTGCCCATTATTAACTGATGGAAATGCACAAATTAATTATAAAAAATTTAGTTATTAAGTTTAATTATCCCATTTGTCAATAATTACTATCCGGATACTAAATTAATAAACAGATATCCGGATAATCAGGATATCTGTTTCAGCTCTAATTTTAATGACAGAATAGACTCAGTTAGTGGTGCATCTATGGCAGGCCCCTAACAATAACATTGTTAGAAAATTTTAGTTTTCACAAAAAAATTTTTTCATTGATTTTCTTTGTAAGTGCACGGTTTATATATTTATAAGGAAAAAAAGGGAAAACGTAAAGGCAAAGAATTTTTACATGAGGTATAACCACAGTAAACATCATCATTAATCATTGTATATGTGCTACAGATTGTCGTGAACAAGACAAGTGGTTTGGATGTGTGTATGATTGACTATACAATACATGACGCTGCTGTGCTGGGAATGAATATCAGTTTTGAATGGAGGTAAGGTACATGTATACAATGGGAACAAACAATACATGTGCAAAATTGTTATATGCTTTGTATAGGGCCTTTCTCAGCAAAGTTGTTGTTATGAAGTGTGAAAATGATGAAAGACACTTATTTTTCCCTCAAGATGTTAGAAAAAATTTCTGAGCTCAATTTATTATTATTTTTTAGGATTTTGAGACATACAATAATTTATTCAGAACTCGTTATACCCTTCACAGGGAATTGTATTATTTACGCAAGAACAGGATTGTTGCAGTAATGTAAGTGTCTGATATACTGTATAAGCTATAGATTTAACAAATCCTACACATGTACTTGTGAATCTTCAAATTTACATCCTACACCGGCTATGGTTTCACTTTCAGAATAAAAAGGATATTGATCAAATTAAACAGAAAGCCAATAATCAGAGATGGTGATAGGTAATACTATTATTATTCTTGATTACAATTATTACATATACTTTAGACTAGTGACTATATCTGAAGCTACAAAGAGCATGTCTGCTTTTACTCAACTTGATGACAGTGTTCTTGCATCATATGATGATGATCCTGAAGTATGAATTAATAAATATAAAATGAAATTAATACTTGGTATAGGTACAAGCACTTTTGAATTGTTTGGGCTCCAAAAAATCAATTGGACAAATTGGTTTTATTATACAAACTTCTGACTGGCACAAAGAACGAATAGTAAGAAATTTATTAACAATGAGAAGCCTATGATTATATTTTTTAAAGAGAAAGCACATTATACAAAATACAAAAAGTTGCAATATTGCTGATCAACTTGTAATTGATGTAAGACAAGTTATAGTTAAAAAACTTTGATTTTATTACAATAATAATTATAGCCAATAAAAAATGGATATGAGAATCATGAATCTCTCACCCAATATTACTACACTAGTGATGGAAGAACAGGACAATGGACTCATGAATGGGTCAGTTTCATAATGTAACCTATTATAGGCAAAACCACCACCAACTGCTTACCCAACTCCATTACGTATATTTCTTGTCAGTGGTGATATAAAACTTATACATGAAGTACAACAGTAAGTTATGACAACTCTGCCATCATGATTTATTTACCTTATAGAGTACTACGAGAATTACAAGCCAATGAGAGACTTAATGGGGTAATAGCTACAATTTTAATTATAATAAATTAACTTTGGTATTTCAGGAAACCTATTCTGATAAAGATAATCACAATTTAATGCGACCACTCAAAACGACTGAAGCAAAAGCTTTAGAAGCACAAGATACTGACAAATAATGTCCTGTTTCTTTATAAACTTTATTTACATGTACATGTACAATACAAGTACACTAAAAAACACAGCTACTAGTTAATAATAATACATCCATACATGTATAATGCTGAACTGATAGTTGTCCTTATTGTGTTAAGTTAAACAATACAAATATAACAGCGTTAGATTATAAATACTCATTAATAATTAATTGTAATGAAACTGAGAAAGAAAGAAAGACAAGATTACAATAATAACGTCACATCTCAATAGAAAGAGAGAGAATTAAAAATATAATAATAATAATAATAATAGTTAATGTGCTCATGCAGTATCAG